GACTTATTTGTGCCAAAAAATTGTCCAAGGATTTATTTAACATGTTTTGGAAAGTTCAAGGACTTATTTGTTCCAAAAAAAAGTTCAAGGACTTAATCATTCCAAACAAGAAAGTTCATTGGTTTTTATTGTACTTTTCCCAAAAAATAATTATCATTTTAACTAGTTGTACAAGTCATAAGAATGTATGCAACATGTTTTATAAAAGTTCAAAAAAGTTATTTAACATGTTTTGGATTATTCAAGGACTTATTTGTTCCAAAATTTGTCCAATGACTTATTTAACATTTTTTGGAATGTCTAAGGACTTATTTAACATATTTTAGAATGTCCAAGGACTTATTTGTACCAAAAAATTGTCCAATGACTTATTTAACATGTTTTGGAAAGTTCAAGGACTTATTTGTTCCAAAAAAAAGTTCAAAGACTTAATCATTCCAAACAAGAAAGTTCATTGGTTTTTATTGTACTTTTCCCTTTATATATATAGTAATTACATATACATACTAAATATAATATTTGTTATTTAATTTTTGTTTTTTTAAAGAAAACAGTAGAATAACCAAAATACCTCCTACTTAACTGGTTTTTTAACATCCGTTAGTCTCAAGGACCCAAACCAAACATTTTCGTATACCATGAGGGTTTTCTTGCCATTAAAATTTTGTAGGGATACGAACAAAACACAACAAACTATAAGGACCAAAATTGCAATTTACTCTATAATTTTTTATAGGATATTATTTAAAAAAATGTCTTGTAGAAATAAGTATCATATACAAAAGATGTGTTAATATGACATTTCTCTTATATATCCCATAAAAAAAACTAATACAACGTTTTATTTTAAAATGGTTTAAAAATTTGTTAAATAAGATGTTCATCCTCTAAACTTATTGTAATAAGTTTACAAATAACACATAATTTTTGGTCATATACTATCAGATTATCACAAAGTTGTGGTGATCCTTTAAATATAGGAAGTGATGTTGTGTATATTTCTTTATTTTTGGTGTATATCCCTTCTTTTTATTGTACACAGTTTGTATTATATATTGTTAGGACATACATGTCCTAGCTTCAAAAGGGTGATTTTTACAAATCTTATAAAGTGTTACAACCCAATTTTGCTGCAATGGTCAGGTTAGTTTTATCTTTGTACAAGGCCAGATTATGTACCGTTAGAATTGAACTATTTTTCGAATCACATGCAAAATATATGTGGAATGGAAACTGACCTTAGTCACGATAAAAAATGATGTTTGGAAGTCCATTGCAAGTCATACGACCTTTACCCATGCTTAGTTGGTAGATTTCGAGGGATACTTGAACACATGTGTAGGCAAAACCTATCACTATAGTAGACATCATATACCTGCCAATAAAGATAGTAATTAAGTATATCATGCCTCCTCAAAGTCAAACGTGTAAGTAACTAAGTATGTGTGTATTATACACACACACACACACACACACAGAGAGAAAGCTAGAGAGACCAAAACCCTACATGAAATCAAGAGTTGAAGTCTAACATCTTGTAGAGAAAGAGAGATCATACCGATAAGTATAGATATCGTTGAACCAGATTTTGACCTCTCTATAGACACCTTTGATGGTAGCACCGTTGGATGATAGAACGATTAGAGATACCAAGTAGCTAACCTGACTACTAATGAGACAATGGCTAATACTTCTACTGTGCTTATCGAAGTCTGAGTAGTCTGGGACTCGGACTGATTTTGAAGTTCAACCTGACTGTGATCCTTAGTTTGAAGACTCTCAGTGAGCTGAAACTGAGTTTGATCATTGAGTTCATCAGGTTGAAATTGAGGCTGCCCATTAGGTCGTACCATTTCGTTTGACAGTCAACTAATGTACGGCCTGCCTGTAATTTCTATATCATAGAAACGATCATGATGCCAATTTCAATAGCAGTTCTTCAAGTTGGATTCCAAGAATTAAATGTCAAATCACGTCATTAACTTCGTCTTGATAATCGTTCTAGCATCCTGATTGGAGCCTTGATTTGCTTAAAACAAGCAGAAAATGATCAATGATATTCTATTTGTTTACTTTCATGTCCACATCACAGTACTTAGTATGGTTATTTGCAGGAAAAAAGCCCACAAGAACCAAAGCGACTTTGAATGAATAAACATTATTCTTTTTCATTTTAAATAATTAATTTTTTTTAATTTTCTTAATAAATAAACAGTTGAACTTTTAAAATTTCGTTACTTAAAAACGTTACATGTAACCGTTTAAAGTAAAAAAAAAACCTAAATTAATTTTTCCATTGTCTCACTCTACATCATTCAAATCTTTTGCATCTAACGGCATCGCTCCCCTCATTACCCCTCACCAGCCTAGCATTGTCCGTTCTCCATATTGTCCATTGCCAGCGTTGACCCTTACCATCGATCTCTTGATTTTTTTTTCTCCTTCTTTTTGATCTGTTTTTTTTTTTTTTTTTTTGTCTTCCAATTCTCCTTTTTTTCATGACAATTTAGTGGAACACGTATAGACAAATCAAGAAAGAGGGAGAATCGAAAAACCAAAATATCAATCAAAAATAGGGAGATCGATTGCAAGAGTCAATGACGATAACGGATGGTGATAAAGAGTAGACAACGATGGAGCGGAGAGGAGTGGCGAGGAGTTTGAATGACATAGAGTTTGGGAAAGGTAAAACTAATTTATTCTTATTTTAACTTTAAATCTTCTTAATCGATTATAGGTAGCTTTTTTGGATTAAAAAGATGCATGTAACCAATTAGTTTTTAGAAGTTATATTATTTATTTATTAAAAAATTCTTATGTATATATTATGAACATTGATATACTTGAATCTTTTTAGCAGAATCTTAGATTTGAAAAGTTGTTTATAAAATTTGTCAAGTTGTCAAATATGATAGCGAACACTTACATATACATACATATATACGAAGTTGTTTATTTCAAAGGGGTTTTTGAAACAACATGCATATTATTTGGGTATGTTGTTTGTTCTTTACATGACTTGATATGTATGATTTGTGCACGAAAACCATAAACTCACTAAGCTCTATAAAACTGACTATTAATATGAATATCAGGAGCACGAAGTTCAAAGGTGGATAGGCAAGGGTCATGCTTAGTGGATTATATTTTTATTGAGTAAGTATCAAATTTTGGGATAGTTGGAGAAATATGTTTGAACTGATTTTGTAACAGAACCCGGTATGGGACAGGTTAGCATTGAGTTATTATTTACATTTATATTTTGTTAGAATTCCGCTATAGCAGGGTTTATTAGTCGTTATTTTTGGGGTTATTTATTATTATTTAATGAGAATGATAGGATACAACTTATGGTGAAAATAAGGTTACAGAACACTCACTAAAACTATTTCCACCTATTTACAACACAAAAAAACAAAGTGTCATCTATATATTTCATTTCAAAAATATGTTATAGTAAAAAAAAATCCGTTTGTGACTTTAAAGAATTATCGATTGATTTTCAAGTGTGATGTGAAGAAAATAATAATAAAAACATTCTTAACACCTCAGATCAGGTCCAGACGTCCATGGTTAACCGGAAAAAAGATTACATTGGGAATAGCGGGTCATCACAAATTAGTCAGTAATCTGTCGCTGATAGGGACGAATTACCAACATATGTTTTTTCCTCGCTTGGTAATTTGCCGCTAATTTAGCTCCATCTTTTCGATACAAAAATTGTCGATGTTCCTCCGTAATACGTGAGTAGAAGTCCCTTTTTCTAGTAGTGTGGGAGCCATAGGTTTTCCAAATATCAATCTTGATTTGGTACAAAACAGCCATAGGTCTAGTTGATTTCTTGTCTTTTCTGTTGTAGTACATACATGTCTTGTTTGAATTTTACAATGTTATATATTTTTCAAGTGATTAATTATATCTTATTCTTTAAATAGTGATTGCAAAAAACAACTGCAGTTTTGAAGGTGACTTTTAAGTTGAAATTATTATTATTTTTATTAAATTGGATATCCAATTCACTATGCGAGTCGACTAATCTCAGAGCGATTACCTGCTTTGCAGATAGCCCGGAGTCATCGCATTTGAATCTCCATGGTCACAAGGGGATTTTATACCTCCTTGGATTTGAACCTGAGACCTATTCAACTAAAAAGTATACGAATGTTGCTATCAACTTAGAATTGAAACGATCAATCATGTCTCCATAAAGAATAAGAATTTTGTATCGAATGTACTCTAATTGATATTTAGTTTATCAAAAGCAACGTGGTTGATGGATGTTTCCACAAAACTTTGGAGCGATGATTACAAGAAATTGGGTCAACTTTCATTAACAACAAAACAAAATAAAAGAGATAATTTATTGTTTCTTGGGAGATGAGAAATTCAAATCAAATTGCTATAAAACGATGGCATGTATTTCGCGTAATCTAAAAAACGGTAACTTCAAACAGAAGTAAAAGAAAGATGTCAGATCTCAAATACGAAGATCCAAAACCAGAAAAGTTGCCAATCGTTGTATTAGCTACAAGACTTACCACCTTGGTGGCTCTAGCGGTATCCATAGGTCTATTGAGGTCGATCAGTGTCACTTACAATGTGGGTCCATTTTCAAACACATTCAGCTACGATGATGTATCCACTTATCAGTGTGAACCTTCTCTTTTCTAGCCTCAGTAAACATTTTTTTCCTTACAGATTATGTATTCTGCATGCACCTTAATCGTATAAATATATGCTTATTATCAATCGCAGGTATGTTTTCTTTGGCATGGTGGCTGGATTTTCATATACCATATTGCAGGTCCCTTTTGCTTTGTACTTCTTTTTCAGAAAAGAAAGAATCAAGAATGGTGCATTGCTCGTGTTTGAATTTTATGGCGACAAGGTACATATAATGCTAATGACCCACTGATTTAACGGTCTAAAATGAAGAAAAAAGAATACCAATTTAGCTGATTACCATTTTGTAATGAGAATTAATCTAAGCATATCACTTGCAAGCTAACTTTTTAGTATTGTTACACATATGTTGTCAGATATGCTTGACATTACTAGCAACCGTGGTTGGATCCTTATATGGTGCAACGGTCGAAAAAATGGAACATGTTGATGAAATTAAAGGATTCGAAGGTGGTTATGATGCCAAAGATTATCATTTAAAAATGACAACATTCTTCATGATGGTTCATATATCAGCAGCATTCCTTCTTGTTGGATTTCTTTGCTCCGTAGTTTCGTCAATCGTGTCGTCCAGATCTCTAGCGAAGAAATCATAATTTGAGAAGGGTTTATAGTGGCATATAGTCTTCAAGGGACTGATATTATTCACAAGAGCTATACATTCACAAGGGTTTATAGTGGCATATGGTAAATGACTTTTTGAAAAAAAAAATTGGGGAACGTTTGATTTGATGGAATAGTTTTGAGGGATTTAGATTTCGTAAAAAGATTTGGATTCAGAATGATTTAAAATCTTTGGTATGTTTGATTTTTTGGAATGTAATTAAATTTCAGTCTTTATAAAAAGAATTATAAAAACAGATTTCTTTTATTAATTGATTGTTACAAACAAATTTTTTTAACATTTTTTAAAACATTAAAAAGTACAAATCCAACAAAATCCCATGAAATACTAATCATCCCCATGGTCTTTTTTCATCTTTTGTAATGATGGATGTCGAATTCATTAAGTAACAAGTTATAATTATATTAACCACTTGCAACTATCGTAACCAATTACATCTAAGATATGATTGTAATAACGATAAGTCGGGTTAAATCTACAAAGATTCGGTTTTAACTTATTATGGTCAGTAAATTCAAGTACAAGAATGAACAATTAAAAGTAAATAAGGAAGGCAGGGGGTTCGGATTTGATTAAGTAGACTAAATATGCAACTAAAAGTTGGTTTACAACGATGAATTAATAGCCCAACATTAGTCACTTCTTATTTAGATGGTAGTACCTATCATTGATTCCAAAAGCGTAAACAAAAAGACTAGACCGAATTGGTCATGGTTGTTAACAAGTTTCAGCAACCTATATTTTTTTTTCTTAGATTTATACTGGTTAAAATAAGCTCTCTGGTGCAATCGGATCTTAATCACAATTGGGAATTTGAATGAACTCTCAAATTCGCAGGTGTGATTGGTTTTATCGGACTAGAAAAACACTAACTCAAAGCCATAAGCTCGCAAGCTCGGTTTATTAAGGCTTTGATTATAAGATTTCATGAACTCAATTAAGAAACCTTATTGAGACCGAATAGATTCAACTGTTACTTTATTAAAGTTTCATGACGATTATGTATCCAAATCTTTAAATAACAATTCTCCATAAGAATTTCAACCAACCGATCAAACTTTGAGCATTTAAATGAAAATAACCTTAAACCAGAAATCAAGCAAATAAACTTGTCCAAATTGTTTACAATGAAAGTATGCATCCGAGCCTTGTCTTTGTTTCTATATATTTGTGCATCTAATGAGTGTTTTGTGTTTGATATGTATAGGAGACATTAATTTTTTTTATTAGCCTGGATATCTAACCCGTTTTGCGAGCCGACTAATCTCAGGGTAACCACCTGCTTTGCAGATAGCCTGAAGTCACCGCATTTGAATCTCCGTGACCACAAGGGGATTTTTGTTCCTCCTTAGATTTGAACCTGGAACCTCCTAACATTTTGACTTTTGAAGTCAAGCTCAAACCAATCAGGCACCATTCTTGTAGTTAATTTATTTATTTATTGTGTTGATGCTAATGGATAACATCGGATGGTGGTTGATTTAGAGTTTAACATAAGTAGTGGTGGCGGTGAGGATGGTTAACATATAAAAAAATATTAAGTGTGTGTGTATATATATATATATATATATATATTATCATACCATATTAAATCCTTAAAAAATAGCAATATATTGATTATAATTGATTAAAGAAAACGAGAGTAACACATAAAAGGACTAGAATGCCCTCACTTAACCAATGAAACTAACAATTGTTATTAGGAGGAACCAAAACCAAGCACTTTTACATACCATAGGTTTTTCTTACAATAAAATTTTATAGGAACCCAAATCCGAGAAAAAAACAAACCTCAAGGACCGAAACTGCAATTTACTCTTTTTATTATATTTATATTATTTTAAAAGTGACTTACACCAGTGGTCCCTGTAGTTTGCTCAAATTTTGGACTTAGTCCCTAAAACAAACTATCCATATTGGTGGTTTCTAACTTTTCATTTTCATAACATTCATGATCCCTCCACTTAACAATGTAAGTTAGCAAACATTATGATGAAAATATTGCTCTTTGGAAAAACAATGGGGACCAAAAATGCAATCTGCTAAAAATATAATGTTATTCACATTTTTTTTAATTTTTTATTAAAAAGTATTTTATATATCCAATTACAAATCAAATATATATATATATATATATATATATACACTATATTATAAAGTATTTGACAAAAACACTTAAAAACCATTTTTTATGCATGAAGTACTGTTAATCAATGCATAGTACTTAAAATTTAAGACTACAAGTAAATTGTGAGTAAGTACAACTTATTAAAGCTTCAATTTTGAATTTGTATAACTATTTGCAGATAAACATAATCAAATACAGGATAAACATCTCATTTTAAATATAAAAAATATAAAATATAATTAGGATAATCATTGAGTTCTAACAGAATCATTATCTTTATAAAAATTATATTGTTAATCCAAAATAAATTATTTCGCTATTAAACCTAAATTAAATTATAATAAAAAATAGAATTAAAGAAATTGTACAAAAAAACGACAACTTTTAAAAAATTAATTTGATATTAATATCAATATACTTTTTCAAAATTTTATGATATCTTCAAAAAAAATTATTTAAAAGTAAACATCATCTTTCTCAAAACCATATAAACCGTATTATATCAATAGAGACAAAATAAAACGAAACATTAACATGAATATGTATATCGTTGCATTGCACGAGTACCCTTTTAGTCTTAAATAAAGTACATATTGAATAAAAATCTTTATATTTATTTAAAAACTATAATATTCACAAAAAAAAAATTCTTAAGTTTAGAAAAACAAAAGAAATCAAGATACATTCACATATCTTTTGAGTTGAGAATTGAAATATGCAAACAAAATATTGAAAATTAAGTTGAAATATGAGATTATTAATATATAGTCAAAATAGCAAATTTATCTGACCTTAATTTTCAATAGTCAAAATAGTGAATTTATTTGACCTTAATTTTCAATAGTCAAAATAGTGAATTTATTTGACCTTAATTTTCAATAGTCAAAATAGATGATTAGATATATTTACGCATTAACATATTTAAAAAGGGTCATTTAACGATATAACCTTAAATAAGTTTTTAATTAAATTCATGACCTATTAACCTGTCGGAAAACAAGGACTTTATATTCATGAGAATGTCATGGATTTAATTACAACATTAAAAGTTATATACCTAAAATCTCGTTTATATAAGACATAACTTTTATTTTTTGTCATTAATTTTGTATTAGGATTTTCAAAATTATTTTCTAGTTGTTTGATTATCAAATTAATTGAGTAAAATAGATTGTATAACCAAATTAAAATAGGTAAAAATTAATTAAGAAAATCAATTATTTAGCTATTGTGACGACTTATCATTGTTATAGAAGAAAAATTAAAAAAAAAACAACGTATTGTGACGATATGTCGTCTCTATAAGAAAAGGATTTTTTTTTTTTTTTTAATTTTCAGCTATAGCAACTATAAGTAGAATTGGGAACTTAAATGTGAAAAACAAAACAATCAGACTAAAGCTGCAGATTCAATATAAGTATAAGGACTGTTATTGTAATTTACTCAAAATTATTGGAATAAGTGTATAATCATCAACTTAATTAACTACCGGGTCTACCCTCAAAGTCAAAGTCGTCTTCTACCCCACATCACCTCTGGTTCCAAGCAGTGAAGACCTTTTCCATCACGGCAACCTGCTCGCTAATCGCAAAAGGTACTCTCTCGCTCTCTGTCACTGATCTTCTATTGTTCTTCTCATTTCCTTAATCATCGTTGTTTTTGTTTGAATCTGTTGCCTGTATTAACGCTCCGTTAGTTGCAATCGGAATGGGTTTTTTTTTTAATTACATACGTTGTATTATTCGTATCTTGATACTATGATTCACCAGGAGCTTGGTCTTTGTTTTTGATATTTGGAATTTACTCGAAGAATTTAGATTCATTTATGGAGTAGTCAATTCCATTGACAAAGATAGGGTCTTGACTTTGATCTCTTTGTATTCTCGGAAGTTGGAAACTGGAAAGGATTAGAGCAGCCTTCTTAAATTACGTCTTTGAAAAATAAAATTGGTTTTGATTTATTTATTTTTCTGCTAAAACTAAAAGTAGCGATAAAAGCCTAAATTTGTTTCAAATCTTGGAACTGAAATGGTAATTGTTCTTTAGCAGGAGCTGTTTTTTTTTCCAAATTTCATTATTACTTGAAGTTTTAATGTTCTTAGTTATTAGGTGTCTGATTTAATGTTAATGCTACCAGGTGAAATGTTTGTGCTGCTTCACGTGTATAATAAATTATGAAGAACTTTAAAACTATAAGAGTTTTAATGCTCCATGAAGTGCTGAATGTAGATAGATTAGGTGTGCTTAATTTCTTATACCTTTGATATCTAATTTTTTGCAACATATTTTCTCACTTTTATTTGTCAGACTAACAGGGATGGTTGGATCACCAAAACCCCTTTTTATAACTCTTCTATTCGTCTACCTTGGAAGCCAAGTAGAATCAGATGCCTCTGATCATCGCTACCATGATGGAGATACGGTCCCCTTCTATGCCAATAAAGTTGGCCCATACAGAAATCCCTGGTTAGTCAATTTCTTCCCTGACATTTTTTTGGCAGATAAATTTGTCATGTGACTTATTCAATGAAGGTGCTTGGTTAATGGAAGTGTTTATTGTTTCATGTGTGGGCATTCTAAATACTCTTTGGCGTCTGATATGCTTTGGAGTATTGTTTATGTATGCTTGCATACAATGAAAAAACTTTTTTCACCTTTTCCTCTCTGGAAAAGTTACTACACCTCATAAATTGAAGAAATGAATCTTATTGAACTCCTTAACCCATTGTTGTTTTTTATTAATACATCTTATTTAATTTTTTCCAGGGAAACATATGCTTATTTTGACCTTCCATTTTGTTCTGCGGGTACTTTTTTCTTGAATGCATTGGTCTTTCTTTTGTTCTCTTTGGCACTCGAAGCGACTTTTCTGTTCTAGCTTCTTAATACTGCTATATTGTATATCCAATACCAGATAATGTCAAAGAGAAGAAGCTTAATCTAGGTGAGATGTTGAATGGAGATCGTCTTGTTTCAACTCCATATAAGCTTGAATTCCGTGTGAATAAAGATTCTGAAGTATTATGCAAGAAGACACTGAGCAAAACAGACGTTTCTCAGTTCAGAAGTGTTATAGCAAAGGATTACTATATGCAATTGTACTATGATGACTTGCCAATTTGGGCTTTCATTGGACACGTTGAAAGAGATTATTCAGATGAAAGGAAGAGCAAATATTTCCTATACAAACATTTTGATTTTGAAGTTCTTTATAATAAGGAACATGTTATTGAGGTCAATCTTCGAGTAGACCAAAATTACTTGGCAGACGTGACAGAGGACAAGGATATTGATGTGGACTTCACATACTCCGTTAAGTGGTTGGTGACACAATATTTGTTTGAAGAGAGAATGGGCAAATACATAGGTTCTTCCATTTTACCACACCACATGTCTATCCATCACCACTCGATTACAAACTCATCTGTCACGCTCCTCATTCTGAGCATCTGCCTGATGACTTTTTATGTGCTAGTCCTTCGCAAAGACATTTCCAAGTACTAATTTTGCTAACAACAATTAAGTATGTGCTACCTATCCGTTTTGGCCCTTTATGCTCATCTCATACAACTCTTTTGCTGCCTTTCCTTTTTCCCCGTTGCATGAAAAATGGAAGGTTTTCACAGGATGTGGAAGGGGATCAAGTGGCTGACAACCTAGACGAGACTGGATGGAAGAACATCCATGGTGATATATTTAGATTCCCACAGCATAAGTCCTTATTTGCCGCGGCTCTTGGTTCTGGTACACATTTGCTTCTACTGTGAGTATTTCCAAGGAATGTGAAACTCAATTGAGTAACTTTCAGAAAATCTGAAGATGACCCCCTTTTTCCCTTCAAATTTTTAATTTTTTTTATATTTGATTTGTTAGGCAAGTATCTAAAATTAGTTTCTAACCTTCATTTTGTTTCATTTGCAGCATCATATCAATTCTTGTTATGGGCCTCCTGGGTGTTTTTCAGCCCTATCATAGAGGAGTATTCTTGAATGCACTTGTCATTACGTATGCAGTTACATCTGTTGTCTCAGGATATACATCTGTTTCTTTCTACTGTCAACTCGAAGGAACCAGCTGGGTATGTGCAAATACCAAAAATCCATGTAGATTTAGGCTTATTTAATTTTAAGAATTCTATACACATAACGAGCTTAGTACTGATTGGTCCTCAAGTATTTTCATTGACAGATGAAGAACCTACTGCTGATAGGAGGATTATATTTTGGGCCTCTTTTTCTTACATTTTGCTTCCTAAACAGTGTTGCCATTTTTTATGGAACAACTGCTGCATTACCAATTGGAGGAATAGTCATTTTATCTCTTTTGTGGATATTCTTAGCATCACCATTGCTTCTTTTAGGAGGGATTGTTGGGAAAAACAGAGCATCTGATTTCGAAGCTCCATGTAGAACCAGCAAATGTCCTAGAGAGGTTCCTCAGCTGCGTTGGTACAGGGGTGTTCTACCTCAGATGGCTTTGGCAGGAATTTTGCCTTTCAGTGTTATCTATATTCAGCTTCACTACATATTTGCAACTGTTTGGGGCCACCGCGTTTACACACTTTACAGTATTCTGTCCGTAGTCTTTGTTCTTCTTCTGATCATAACTGCTTTAGTGTCTGTGGCGCTGACATACTTCCAGCTTGCTGTTGAAGATCATGAATGGTGGTGGAGGTGCGTTTATTAGGTTGTGGAATTAGTTTCAGAATGGTGACTTTACTCCTCGACCTCCTCATTTTCTTGCATTTCTTTATTTTCTTGGATATTTTATGCATACACTTATACATAGATGATTTCATTATTTTGTTGCTATATATTAGTTCATTCTTTCTCTAAGGCCGAAGAGTCTATGCTTCAACTTCAAAAATGACTGATGATTTTTTTAAAATTACTTAGAATTTAACCAATTCATATGAATTTTGAAGCTAAAAAAGGTGCCCATTTGAAATAGATGTCAAAACAGTTATCTTAGTGGATCTTAAAACTCATGAGGTAATAAGAGTTCTTTGTGTGACGTAGGTCATTTTTCTGTGGTGGCTCTACCGGATTGTTTGTATATGGTTATTGTATCTATCATTATTTCTTGAGATCAGACATGACTGGTTTCATGCAAACCTCCTTCTTCTTCGGCTATATGGCTTGTGTCTGCTACGGCATATTTCTGGTACTTGGAAGTGTGGGTTTCCGTGCCTCATTGCTCTTTGTTCGTTACCTATATGCGGCCATAAAATGCGACTAGCAGGTATGTTTTAATATACAATTTCTTTTGCTATGTTTGTTTTACATGTCTGTGTAGCAAAACCAATGTTCATTTCACCAATATATACCTATATCTACATAAAAGCATGATCTCCTTCTTTAAATTGATGAAAAACCTAAATCATTCTTTAAGCAGTGAGAGCCTCAATTCAAAGCTGATGAAAAAATGGAAGTATTTGTGGATCAATTGTTCAGGAGTCATTTCTGATGGCATGAAGTCGATTTGATGTTCAAAATCTTCAACAAGTCTCTTGGAAGGTTTTTGTTTCAACAACTTGGCATGATTTCACTTGGAGTACTATTCATATTAATCAGAGTTTGGTCCATCCATTTTCAAGGGTATATTCAGTTCCATTCCATTGTTACCTAAATGTATAATTCTTAACCTTTTGTTGGAAATTAAGGATAATTTCCTAAGGATGCTTTAAGATCTTTAGCTCCAGAATTGGATCATTTTCTTGTAACTGAGAAGACTTTCCGGATTAATAGTACATAACCCATATAAATTCAAATACAAACACATATATTGCAAATCAAAATACCTATTATTAATGAGAATGTTCCAAAAACCTTAGAAAAAAATAATTGACATTTTCCATTTTTAGGGTTTTCTCTTATACTTTGTGTGGAAGGTGTTTATGTTGTAGATGCAGAAGCAAAACAGGGGTAGACAGGTGTTTATGGTGGTCCTTGCCCCTTCTCTAGTGGTGGCCGAATAAGGGCTTCATTGGCGACCCCCTTCCCTGTGTGGTGGTGGTGGTTTGATTGGGGGGAGGTTGTGTAGAAAGAGAGGAGATGGCTATGGTAGAAAGAGGTGGTCATATCTAATGGTGGTGATGGAGGATCTCGTCGTTAGAGGGAGGGACTTAATGAGCACGAAAATGTCAACCAGAAATCCTATATCTATATTTATTTTGATTTTGGGTAGAAGGTGTAAACCATAAGGACCAAATATGTAATTTACTCAAGAACACCTAAATTGTATCAGAGATTTTAACATAAATTATATTATTATAATATTCTCTAATTTATCATTTTTTTTAATTTCTAATAAAACCGCATATTAAAATCAAATCTCTGCATCGATCTCATCCATTACATCGTTATGTTCTTTCACCATCATGCCCACTAAATAAAGATTTTTACGTTGAGGAATACGACTGATTTTGTTCAGCTCTTCTTGACTTAACGACCAGTCGAAGATGTCAAGGTTTTGCTTCATTCTCTCCATGTTGAAACTCTTTACTACAAAACTAACACCTTGCTCATATAACCATCTTAGAGAAACCTGCACCCAATACTATAGCATTAATTACCCATTACTCATCACTTCATATATACTATATATCTTAATTAATGCATTATGAGCGTAAGGTTAATTTGTTGTATGTTGGTGATCTAAAAGAAGAGTACCTGAGCAATTGTCTTCCCTTTGGACATGGCAATCTGTTGGAGAACATCGGATTCCATGACGCGATTGTGTCCCCAAGGATTGCCGTAGCCACCTAAAGGGGAGTAAGCAGTGAGAAGGATGGAATTCGCTTTGCAGAATCGGTTCAGTTCATTCTGCTGCCAAAGTGGGTTCATCTCCACCTTCAAATAAAATCAAAATGGTGAAAGTTGCAGAATGTATATTCAGTCATAGACATGAGAGCATGAGTGATGAGGCAATCAGCTTAAATATATACATGGTATCTATGGTCATTCTTAGATGATGATTAATATACATCAAGTTTTAAAAAAATTTGGTTTGATGAAATTATCAATGGATGATGATCACCTGGTTTACAGAAGGAGGGATTCTAGCGAATGAAAGAATTTCTTGAATTCTTCGACAAGAGAAGTTGCTGACACCGATGGATTTCGTGAGTTTAAGATCCTGGCAATCCTCCATTGCTTCCCAAACACCCTTGATGTCAATCGCGGCTACACACTCCTTTGGAACGGGTAACTTGTACTGCTCTTGGTTTAGCTTTAGCGGCCAATGTATCAGATACAAATCTACGTACTCGAGTCCCAAATTCCTACATAAAATAAGCAAACCATTTTAACAATGCAATGCTCAGAATAGTTCTCCATTAAATGGAAGTGATTGCTGAAAATAAGTAGCAAAAGCATGAGCTGAATTCAACTATCCAAATTGGACCAATGATTTCTTACCGGAGACTCTCCTTCAAGGCTGGTAAAACAAGGTGGCGCTCGGCGGAGTTACACCACAGCTTGGTGGTAATGAAAAGCTCGGTTCTAGACTTGATGAGACCCTGTCTCAGAGCTTCTTTTATGGCTTCCCCAACAGAATTTTCGGTTTGGTAGAATGCGGCTGTGTCAAAGTGGCGATAACCCACCTTGATGGCCTCAAGAATTGCCGCTTTCACCTCATCACTGCCGGCAGTCAGTGTTGCGGTTCCCATTCCGATCACTGGAATGGGTCGAGGACCATCGGAAGAACTGATCATCATCTCCGGAATCATGTTTATCTGTTATTCTTTTATTTTCTTCACTGGAGCCTTTTAAAATATGTTGGGTTTGAATGCTTGCATGCACATATCAATGGTGGTGGCAAGCTTTTCTATGGTTGCAGAAACTTTTGATTAGGTTTGTTTCAGGCCATAGCCTTAACTTGTCTGTATGATCACGGGTTTGGGTTTATGTGATCTCGTTTTCAACTTCTTTCTTTTAACTCTGCTTGGTTGGCTCTTCTCTCAATGCCATGCATTGACCGATTTGTTTGATTACAACCCTTAATTACCTGTTCTCCATTTAAAAAATAAATAAATTACAGATTTGGTCCCTCTTCTTTCAGAATCATTGTTTGCAAACCACGATTCTATTTTATCATCAATCTAGTCCTCGTTCACGTTTTTATGTCAATAATCAAAGTCTTAATTTTTAAGCTTCATTTATTATATAAAAACCCTTCAGTTTAGGTCTCTAAACGAAACGGTAGTCCATCTTATCCATTAAACTTGAGATCATTTAGGATTTTTTATCATTTGTTTTATTCTTTTTTTATCAGGAAAGATGGATGGCCGTTTGGTCAGTTTCTAACTCCAAAACAAAGTGTAGATCACGTAGTGTTTTATGTAATTTTAGGGACCAAAACCGTGATTTTTGACGTACCACAAGGACCAAAACTGTAGTTTACTCAAAAGGCAATTGGTTGAAGAGAGGTCTCACCGGAGACTCTGCTTAATGGCCGGTAAAACAAGATGGTCTTCGGCGTAGTTACACCAGAGCTTGGTGGTAATAAAAAGCTCTTCCCGAAACTTGATGAGACCCAGGCCTCGTTTACCCAAATGCTTACCCGATAAGCGCTTACCAATAGGAGTCAACACTATAATTTATTTATTTTATTTTTTTAAGTATATAATATTTTATATACGACAAATAGAACAAATAAACTCATACACTCTCACTTTCGGTGAGGTTTGAACCTTTGACCTCCTAGGAGGCCAAAGACTCACATACCCCTAGGGGAAAGGCCCTTTGGTCACTATAATTTATTTTGATGCATAAGATTTTAGCATATCAAAACATATCGAATACAACAATTTACTGGGTAAGAGTCGTCATCCTCACTTACCAGATAAGACTCTCCATCCTTCTCATCGCTCTTACCCGGTAAGATTATTGGCCCTTTTCATGTTTATCCAATGGGGAAATTTAAGCGTTAAACACTTACCAAGTAAGTGTTTAGTAAACGGCCCTCCAGTTTCATGGCTTCCTTGATGGCTTCTCTTAGAGATTTCTCCGTTTTGTAGACCGTGGCGGTGTCAAAAGTGGTGATAACCAACATTAAAATCACACGTCGCGTTGTGTTTACCGTTAGTGTGACATATATCACGTGATTTTGGACGTGGTTTGGTTGTTTTCGTGTTCTCTTGTTTAATTGTCCTTTTTCCCCTTTTGAACCTCCACCCCCTCTATCTCAATATATATGTGTGTGTGAAATCACATATATATCTCTCTCTCTCTCTCTCTCTCTCTCTCTATATATATATATATATATTATCTTATAAACCAGATTYATTAAAAGTCTTAAAAACAATTTTTAATGCACAAAGTACTATACATTTATGCTCAAAGTCTTAAAAACAACTCATAATCATTAAGTACTACTATTTTATGCATTGAGTCTTAAAATCTTTTAATCTACAATTTAAATAACACATAATACAAGTTATCAATGCACATTATTAACTTTTTTTTTCATGTTTCCAAAATACTTTTGACACATTTCACTCATGCATTCACCCTCTCATACCTCTATATCTTCTCCACATCCCCCAATGTGAAATTCAAACTGATATTCACCATGAGTTATTAAAAGTTCTCTCATTCAATTGTTCTAGAACTCTTGATCTTGCTCTCGATCTCTTGATTCTTTGCTCTCGGTGTAAATCGAACACATTTGCGCAGTCGTTTAAATATATTGAATTTTAAACTGTCATACAATTTTTTTATCGATAGACTGTAATTAGAACCATAACTCTTATTTATTCAAATTGTATTAATATATAAAGACCAAGTGTAACTTATATCATCATTAAATTTTCTCTAATAAAACCAGTAAAACTTCAAAAATCATTAAAATTCACGGTTTCCGCTGTATTGCACGGATACACGACTAGTAACCTAAAAATTACACGTGGTTTGTTTCTCTTTGTGCTCTCTTACTGGGATATGTTTTTAACATGATGTTGTCTTAAAAAAAAATACGTGTGTATGTGTATAGTTGGGGTGGTATGCATAGCAGAATACATGTATTATTTACAAGAGATTGAAGTAATTCATAGCAGAATTCAATTATATCAAACAAAAGTAGGACTGATTTTAGAAATGATAGAAGAATACATGTATTATTTCGCGACGAAATATTAGTTTATATCAAAGAGTAGAAATACAAATTGACGATCTCTTATTTATGTCTTAATGTAATTTGTAACATCTTTTATTTGTGACAGAAATACTTATTCAAGTGCAAGCTCCCTATCAATCTCAGAGATTATATCGTTAGGCTCAGCTAACATCATACTGAAATTAGCATGTTTCTGCTGGGGAATTTGGCTGATTTTATTCAGCTCCCCCTCCGTTAACGACCAATCGAATATATCAAGGTTTTGTCTCATCCTCTCTGGGTTGAAACTCTTTACTACGAAACTCACACCTTGTTCGTATATCCATCGTAGAGAAATCTGCATTTCAATACCATCTATCAGTTTACAACATCCATAACTTATAATGTGATCTCGTAGGGTTGGTTATTGAGGTTGGGTCGATGAGTAGATAACCTGAGCAACTGTCTTCCTTTTAGAGTCGGCAATCTGCTGAAGAACATCACATTCCATAACACGATTGTGCCCCCATTTATTGCCTGATGCACCTAAAGGGGAATAACCCGTAACAAGTATACCATTCTTTTTGCAGAATTCATTCAGCTTTTTTTGTTGCCAAACTGGGTTCATCTCCACCTTCAACAAATCCAAATACAGAACTAACATCAGACACTAACAACGGCTGTTTCAAATAGAAAAGTCGAATGTATGATGATGACCTGGTTGATTGCTGGAGGGATTTTGGCAAAGGAAAGGAGTTCTTGAATTTTTGTGACAGAGAAATTGCTGACACCAATGGATTTGGTGAGACCCAGATTCTGACACTCCTCCATTGCTTTCCAAACATCCTTGAGATTGATTGGAATTATGCATTCCTTTGGAATTGGGATTTTGAACTCCTCTTGCTTCAGTGTGATTGGCCAGTGTATTAGATACAGATCCACATACTCTAATCCCAAATTGCTGCACCCATTTCATATATAAACTCAATTCCCTTACTGTATGTTAAGCAGCTATATCTCATATCTGTATGTCTAGTTTAGGGTTCTTTCTTGTCATTAATATATTGATAGCTCAAGGCAGGGCCGTCCCTGGGGACTGGGGAGTGCAGCGCGGGCAGGGCCCAAAAATATCTAAGGCCCAAATATTTTCCTTTTAAAATACAATAGAATTTAATAAACTAAAGAAACCCAAAAAATTATAGCATATAATAAGAGGCAAAAAGAATTTAACAGATAACAAAGACCCAAAAATATATCAATTAATTATATTGGAGAAGAAAATAAAAAAAATTAATTGGTTATTCATTATATGCTATTGTTTATTGTCTCTCTAAATTTTCTTTTTATCTTCAACAAGATTCAATGATATTGGTTATTGCTATATATATATGCTTGATTGTTTTCGTGCTTCAACAATTCAACGTTAAGATCATGTGTTTGTTATTGCTGTATATTTTTGTTGGATATTTTTATCAATTTATGCTTCTATTGACTATTATTATTTAGTTATGTTGTTCTAATTGTTTTTGTTGACCATTGTTGTCTATTTTTGCTTCTACATAAAATATTTTACTATTATTTGACAATCAATCTATTGTTCTTATAATTTATGATGTGTTTCATTGTTTTGTGATTAATCAATAAATTTTTTCAACTAGATGTATTTTAGTAATTTCTCTTATATATGTCATGTTCCATAAACTTTTGATCTTACATCTTATTTTAGTTGAGCACAAAAAGAAGAAAAATAGAATTTAAATATTTTTCATCGATTGTTTGACTTATATATCTTTCATTTGGATTCTACCACACCACAAGATTCTTTTTAAGTGCTCAACCAATCATATGTTGAGCTTGCATATTATATGTTCAATTTATTATTTATTTTTATTGGATTTCAATGGATCATCATTTCTTTCATATGCTTATTGATTCTCATTTGTCTACTTGTCTAGAAAACCTTAATAATCTTCTTTATTTATTGATCTTTCATTGGCCCTCACTATTACTTTATTCACACGAATTCTCTTTTTGTATTAAAATAAGACATATTTCTTGTTATAAACTAAAAAAGATTCTTACTATTTATAAAATTTATCAACCATAGTTTCTATACTCCTTGTTTCAAATTATCTAATAAGAATTACGTAAATTTAAGTACTCTCTTATATATTTATAATAAAAATAATAAGATTTCTTTCCTTAATAAACTATTAGCATTTTTTGTACTCAATTTTATACTAATGAAATATCTCTTTTGTCACTGCAAAAAAAATAAGCTTTGACGATGCGACTTTTAGCGAAGACATGTTTTCACCACAAGTTATAGTAACGATATGTTGTTATATACTCTTTCCGATGATAAATGAACTTTTAGTGACGACAAAAGCCTTGTTTCTTGCAGTAGACCCTATTTTTATGTTCGTCAGAGCCTATAAAATATCAGGAACGGACATGGATCTCATTGAAAAGTTAACAACGTTATTCTTTAATAATAATATTAATAAAAATCCCCTTTGTTTATCTTATTGAAAAGAAGGAAAAAGTTGCAGAGGGAGATTTACCGGAGACTCTGTTTGATGGCGGGTAAAACAAGGTAGCCTTCGGTGGCGTTACACCAGAGCTTGGTGGTGATGAAAAGCTCCTCTCGAGACTTTATGAGACCAAGTTGCAGAGCATCGTTGATGGCTTCCCCAAGAGCTTTCTCCGTTTGGTAGAGTTCAGCGGTGTCAAAGTGACGATAACCCACCTTTATGGCCTCAATAATCCCCTTCTTTATCTCATCCTCGCCTTCCCTAGACCTTGCCGTTCCCATTCCGATCAGAGGAATTGGTCGTCGACCATCGGAAGAGCTTATCATCGTCTCCGGAATACGGATTACCATCTTTAATTTCCACCCTTTGTTTTCTTAATTTCCTTTCAACTTCTTCATGTGTTTGTGTATCTATCTATATATATACTAGGAGAGGAGAGTATTCCGTGAAATACAAATCTCAATTTTAATGTATTATTTTATTATTTATTTTTATCGATATTATAATATAATTTTATGTGTTTTTAA